TATAAAATTAGAAAGTAAGTGGAGAAAGGATTGATATAATTTTAGTTTTTTAAGTTTATTCTTATCTTGATTTTAGTCTCTTTAATTTCGAATTATATATTTTGATCCCTAAATTTTTTAAATACCGGTTTTTATAATCTGATAAAAATTTGAATTATTTTACCTATTGATAGATTAAAATTAAAATTTATACAAATTTAAAAAATAAAAAATTATATTAACTCATGTAGAAATATTATATTTTCATTAAAAGCAATTATGTAGATACAGAAATTCATTTATTTCATCATTCATGTTAACAAAGCTTGCTTGCTTCGCCCGTCACGATGCACGTGCTCGTTAATGCTTCCCTCCCCTTGGGAGCCATATGTTCATTCACGGCGCTTCCCCCCCCCCCCCCACCCTATTTATTGGAATATATTATTAATTAATGGAACTGCATAAATATGTAAACAATATATTTAAAGAGAGGCAAAATGTAGCATTAAAAAAAATAGAAGCCATGTATAAAATCATTTTTTTTACCAGATGTGTAAAATCATATTCAAACTTTATCTCTCATCCTTATTTGCTGTCCTCTCTGCTATTATTTATATGCGTGTAGGCTAGTCTTGACGGCAACGTATCAATAATGAAGGGTCCTCTCTTTTTCTTTCTCCGCCAAGAAAGGGAGAGGATAATCTACTAAATATCAAGTCAAAGTAAAACGATGGGTTCAAAATTCAAACTTCAAAGTGTGAGATATTAAAACAAAACAAAAAACAAAAAAAGAGTGAGCAAAGAGGGATGTGACTGCTTCACTTTATAAAACTCATGATTTAATAAATAGATATTATTTTTTAAAATATTATTATTAATTATGTATATTTGAATTACAAATTGATAGTAACTCTATAACATATGGAGTTATTATAAAGATTATTTGAGAAAAAAATCAATAAATATTTGAGACAAGATGGATCTGGATCTTATATTTATGATGACTAAATTAAAAGTTAAACTGTCTTATATTAATAAATGATCGGAGCTAGTATTTTCTTTTAGCTTCTGCTTGATTTTGGGAAATATGTGATTTGACTTTTAATAAGGATAAGGAAATCTTTGAAATGTAACAAATTTTTTATGCATTTAGAATTGACTATCAATTTCTATTTGCGTGCAATAGTTAAGCCGGACATATATTATTTGACCCTATGAGCATTTTATATTGGTATTTTCTGGCAAAGGAAATTTATATCCGCAGGCATTTCCTCTTCTTTTTTTCTTCCCTCTCATTTTGTAAAAGTGGTTTGATTACGCAAAATTCAAGCAAGCGGGGTTTTGGTTAGTCGAGTAAAGGAAAAGAAATCTGATTCCAAGAAAAGAAATCTCATCATAATTTATTGTATTAAATAAAGATAATCAAGCCAAATCAAATGGTCAATATGATTGAATCAACAAATAAAAGTTTTTTTTTTTTTTAGGGCAGGGATGGGATTGGAAAGTTTCCAAAAATGGGGGTTTTAAAGGGGGCAGCTGAAAGTTGGAGCGCGACGGGAAAGGGGTGAAACCGTGAAATGACCAAAAAGGGGAAGGTGATTAAAGAAGCTCCCAGGTAATGGGTGGTACTGGTGGTTTGAAAATTGACCCCCGCTACTTACCATTACCAAATCTTGCTTATCCATCTGGTCCTACCTGTTCATTTTACGAGTCATATTATTAATTTTACATTTTATTTATTATTATGCAGGCTATTTTTTCATAAAAATATATATTAAATAAAAATAAAATTGAAAAACGGTTAAATTTTAAGATAGATATAATAATATATAAGTTTTTTTGGATAAAATATATTAAAAAAAACTTATAAATAAAAGTAGGAAGGAAGAATATACTAAACAGGATAAAAAATGTATTTGTTCACTAACGTGTGGAATTTAAAAATAAGTAAGCTGGTCATTCATAATTAAAATGCAGAGAATTTATGACACTATTTAAAAATGTTCTTTCCATTTAATGATCAAAATTAAATGCAAGTAGGTAAAAATGTCTTAATAAATAGGAGTATTGTAAAAAATTAATATAAAAAAAGATTTTATATTTCGAATCATATTAAACTCTTAGATTAAATTTTATTTCGGCTTAACGGGAGCATCACTCACCTCAAACATGTCAACTTTTAATCCCATTTTTATAGGAAACTTAAATCATGCGGATTAAGGTATATAATTAAATAGAAGGGAGTGGCTCTCATAATTCGCGAAGAACATTATTTTGCTGCATGAGTGGAGCCTAATTTAACTTTGAATTTTTAGTTTATGATGGGATGAATTAGTAATTTTCACTCGTGAAAGGGACATCTCAGTGATACGCGAGTCGCACAAGGTACGCATGCGTCAGGCATTTAAGTGAATTCCCACTGTTCACCAGGCTTTTTTGTCAATTCCAGAACGTTCCAGACACAGAATCTTCCTCCTCTCTCCGGCTCCGCCTGCGAGTACCTCATACCACATCCAGCCTGGCCCCTCACAATTATTATAACACCCCTCCCTTCCTAATTTTTCCCACCAACCTGTCCTTTTTTAAATTACTCAGTTTTAAATATAAAATTTTTATATTAATGTATATAATAATATTATATTTAGAATCATAAAAGTAAATTAATTGACATCTCTATATTTAAGTATTCTCGACCTCATTGATTAGTATTATAAACCTTTCAAAATTAAAATCTATCTAATTTTTATATATATTTTTGAGATGACTTGATAAGTATTATTTTTTTTAAATTACAACAATAGGAATTGAATAATTGATTTCTACCAAAAGTTGACGTCGCTCTTTCCAAAGTAAGCCCCCTTTATTTCTTCTAATTATAACAAGTATATTTTACATAGAATAAAAGGTATAAAACATTAGATTAATTATGAGCATTTTTATTGTCCCACTGTTGTAATAAGATTGTGAGATTCATGATTTACTCTTGAAGTTTAAAATACTTCATCCAATTAATTAAGCGCTGGTTATATAGTGACAGAAATTTTAAGTTAAATATTTAAATATGATGATGTCTTGAGTTTAAATCTATATAGGTATTTGGATGGAAACCAAATTATAATTTTAAAAGTGATTTTACGATATACGAAGTAAATATATGAAAAATTTATGTTAATTTCTGAAAAAGTGTTTTTAAAAATTATTTTTAATGACATACAAACACCCTTTTACTAAATATGTTATTAATATATTAATTTTTCCGTTAGCTGAATGTAGATTGTTGACGCTGATTTCTTCGTACTTTTTTTTTTAAAAAAAAAATTTCCCTTTCACCTGAAATTTCTTTCTTCTTTTGGACAGCTAGATTACCTGGAAGCCTCTATCCACAGCTTAAGTACGTACAGCGCATTAAATGTGCCCAGTTACGCGAATTATTTAAAAAAGCAGTCTTTTGTCCCTTCATGCCCTCCGCATCACAATTTGATGTTTTTCAAAGGTGAAAATGTCTTGACACAAAAAAAAAAAAAAGGTGAAAATGTCATTCCATTTGATAAACAAAAGGCGAGTCAAAATTTTGGCAGGTAATATTTAAAAATTACTCATCAATAAAAAACCTCCTATTAATATTAAAAATCGAATCAATTCTCTTATATAAAATAGGCTCTAAATTTTAGGATGAAAACTACTGATTTCAAAATTTTAAAATAAAAATTAAAATAAGATCAAATTTAAAGGACTAATAATATTTTAGCCCAAAAAAAAAAGAAAATTTACAGAAAAACAACTGAGCCGAATAAGCGAAGCCGGGACAGGGCGGGCCGATGAAAGGAGCAGCTGTATGGCTGATAACTTGAAGGTGAAGTTGACCCTACTTAGCCAAGCCATTTAAAACAGAGACCTAATCATTAGCTTCCCAACCTCTGCGCGACAATAACAAAAGGCTCAAAGGCCACGCACTAACCAATCACAAGAGGTGAGAGACAAATCCCATACCGCTAACCGTAGGTGGTTTTTATTTTTAATTTTTTTTAATTCCAGCAAGAAGCTTCCATGACCCATTCGCCGTCTTGCGACGGTCATCCCGCAAGTCCCAGTCCTAGCCGCCAGTTATTTCCGGTTTAGCCATCACTCTTGACTAACTTTATCTTTTTCCTTGTTTTTTTTTTTCAGAAAAGTGGAAAATTAATAAAAACAGTGAAAGCGAGTGCTCTAAGCGCTTTCAACACTAGAATTTGACTCTTTCTATCATTGGAGAGATGATTTAATTTATGATCATCCTACGTAATACACAAAATTTGCGAAACCCATTGGTTTATTTCGTGCCGCCTGTGGAACATCCGCCACGTGTGTTCCTTGTAATTACGTTCGGTCACGCATCGTAGCAGTAGTTCACTTTCATTACGGAAGTGACTCCCCTGCGCGTCCATCATGCGGCGATCTCCGCTAATGTCAGAAAAGCCCTTGCTTCTTCGTACAACGAGATGAAACTGAGCGAGGGTAAAGGAGTATTTTCGTGCATAAGCCTAACTAACTGGAAGGTAGGTGGGTGTTATCCTGTACAGATCGGTAGTTTAACCGAAAAAGTGGACACGCAGCAGAGGATTTCACGTTCCAGAGCCTTCGAGAATGGACGGTGGGATTTCAACGTTTTGAAGATAACCAAACTCTGTCTTGTTCTACGTTAGTATTCCCTCTTTCCTGCTCGTATTACTTTTCTCTGACCGCTACAGAAACCAGAACCAGACCTCATCGATAACACCGTCATTATGTTGATTTACTAAGATACCCTTATCATGTTTCCACGCACTTGCTCCTCAAATTTTATACCCGCCAATAAATGATAAATCCGGCGAGTTATAACTGTAATTCCGTCATAAACACCGAAACGGAGAAACGGCTGAGGGCAAAGAAACGCGTTTTGGACGGCAAGTATTTTGGTTGAACCACCTGACAAGCAACAGCCACCAATATCGCTCGCATTTCTTCTCCGTTATCTGATTTCTTTCCTTTTTTTTTTTTTTGGCCCTTTCTAAGCACAGGAAAGGGAAATAAATTTTAAAAGTTAATTTTTTTTTGAGGTTTTCAGAGCTAATAAAGCGGTAATATTTTACAGTATAAAACTATAAATTATCCCTTCCTTCATCTTTTTCGGTTTTCTAAGCACTCGTTTCCTCTCTTTCCTCATCCACTGTTTCTCCCCGCTTTATTCCTCGCCGGAAAACCTCTTCTTCCGCCGGCAAACCGCCTGCTTCACCGGCGACATACTCCCGTGACTCCTGAGGAAGCCGGCTGCCACTTTCTGATTGAAACGTCTGTATATCATCATAACTTGCTTTGTATGTCTTAGAAGGCTTTGGATCTCTCTGTGGTCTGGTTTCAGCCTTGTGCTCGGTTCTCTGCGAGAATGTGGCGAGTCTGGTTGTTGTTGAAGGCTCGCTTTTAACCTGTAAAATCCAGGATCGTGATCTAGGGTTTGGCTCAGGGATTTGGATTCAGTTTTGTCATTGTTTTTGTGATTTCTTGACCAAGTGGGTGAAGACTGAGGCCTACACGGAGCTACCTCGGGATGAAATGGTAGGTCAATCATGCTTTCTATGTTCTTTTTCCCTCCACCTTGTCATCTGGTCCGTAATTAAATAGTGCTTCAAAGTCTCTGCAAAATGTATGTTCTTTTGATTCATCTTTCAGATCTCCGCCCCAGTTACGCTTCTTCCAGTTTCTTCTCGATTTTCCGTTTTTTTGTTTTTTCAGTTTGAATGATCATTATCAAACCCACTTACCTGGCTATATTATTTCAGCGATTTCATAATTTGATGTGGAGTGATTTACTTTCTAAACCGATACTTTAGGTGCATTTTGCGACGGCCGATTTTTTTTCCTCATATAAATTACCAGGTCTCGTATATGATTTTTTTAATAAAAAATTACTGTAGCAGTTTCAATTCCTTTTCTTCCTTTTCCTAGAAAAGAAAATTTGAAGGTTTAAAGTCTCTGGCTTATTTTCTGGAAGGTTTTCGTGATTCTCCGTTATCAGTATGAATGCTTTGTATATTTTCTGTTTGATTGGTTTATCTCAAGTTAGAAAATAATGATCCGGTAAAGGGCAGACTGTTCAAATTTCCGCCCACGCTTTTGTTGAATTTTTTAGGCCAGAGTTTTCATTTGACCACATCGCGTGCTAACTTTGGATGAAATGGTAACGTTTTCCGGTGAACGCCTCCATGTCGGTGAAGTTGTAGTCATCCAGTCGGCAAATTAATTTTTATTGTCTTAACGGTTATCGGCCAGTTTTATGAAGGAGGCGGCTTAATTTCGATGGAGATACTTTTTAATGTTTGCTGGTACCTGTTTTATGACTTTCATCGCGGGGTGATGGTATGCGGTGATCATCTATTATTTGACTCCAGTGGTAACATAACGAAGAATATCGTTTTCGTTCGAGACCCTTTTTTGGTTGTTGTTTTCCCCATTTATGGTTAATTATTTTAAAGGTTAATTATTTTAACTTGTTTGTCTCCAAAGTGGCTTTTTACCCTCCACTTATTTACATTTTTATCTCAACCCGAGTGAGCTGATGCAGAAGAAACTATGCCTTGCAATTGCGATTTTGTTTTCTTGGAGAACGACTGGACAAAATTTTGCTGCCCCCCTTCCTCTTATAGTTCAGAATTTCCGTGGTGCTAGCGATTCACACTTTCATGTTGCTAATAATAACTCAGTGATTAAATTTGTTCCTTCATTTATGTAGCTTCTACTCTGAATGTCAATTGATGGTTTCTTATCTATGGTAAATGATAACGCACCTATCAGGTGGAAGGAAGAGTTTGTTTGCCCAAGGAAGCTAGAAATATACTAGAACCTTCAAAGTGTAAAAAGCTTCACCGAGCAAAATCTTCGACTGCCAACAACACAAGTGTTGCTAATATGATGACAAGAAGCGGAGGAGATGCTTTAAGGGCTTCGTCATCATGTGGTGTGAGGTTGCATGGTAATGCAAACGCCTTTTCCAAGAGGAAGGTGGATAAGTTTGACATGAGTGATCTAGAATGGACTGAAAAGATTCCCGAGTGTCCTGTGTACTCCCCAACAAAGGAGGAATTCGAGGACCCTTTGGTTTATTTGCAAAAGATAATTCCTGTGGCTTCAAGATACGGTACGACCTATTGAATCTTGTTCTATACTGAATCTATTTAGTGGCCAAGGGCATTCAATGACGCACGAGGCGATACATTGCGCTGAGTGAACTTTCAAGACCTACCTTCTTTTTGGTTTTCTTCTGGGGTTTTTGGGCCCCCAGGGTTTTTTGTGGGGAGGGGCCCCCCGGGGGGGGGGGTCTCTGGTTCATTATGTTTGAAAATGAAAGTTATCATAGTAGATAAGGATAGACTACGTTGCAAACTACCACATATAGAGCAATTTGCTTTGTTTCAATTTTGCGCGGCTGTTCCTTTTTTTTTTTTTTGGAGTTCCTGGCTTGCTGATAAAATTGTGATTCATTATCATGTTCTTTTCCGGTCTTCATTATAGAGGCAACCCTTTAATTTGACTCCTTAATCCCCCCCCGGGGGAGGGTGCATCGTGAATATCTCCAGACTTTTTATTCTGCATGTATGCGATTCCTGATGGGCGGCTACATGATAGACTTGGATTGTATTTAACTTTGCACTGGGGATGCCTAAACTATTCCATAAATCTTCATAAATCAGACAACTGATTTGCGGTGGCCAATAAATTGATAGAATTGTGGCCGAACCTTTTTTCATTTCTGTGGATGATCAATTTCAGGTATATGCAAGATTATTTCTCCTTTGCATGCTTCAATTCCTGCTGGAGTCGTGTTAATGAAGGAGAAAGCAGGATTTAAGTTTGCAACTACAGTACAGCCACTTCGCCTTGCTGAGTGGGATACTGAAGACAAAGTCACATTTTTCATGAGTGGAAGGTAAGTTTTCTATTTATACCTGTTTCTAACTTCAGTTAGCTTATCTACTTAATTTTTAATACAGTTTTAATTCATTCAGAAACTATACATTCCGCGATTTTGAAAAAATGGCGAACAAGGTTTTTGCACGTAGATATTGCAGTGCCGGATGTCTTCCTGCCTCATTTTTGGAAAAAGAGTTTTGGCATGAAATTAGCTGTGGAAAGATGGAAAGTGTAGAATATGCATGTGATGTAGATGGTAGTGCCTTTTCCTCTTCTCCCAATGATCAACTTGGGAGCAGCAAATGGAATTTGAAGGTGTTAATTATAATATCTCTTTGATTATAAAAGTTATCTTCGCATTCATTTGAGTTGCTTTATTTGGGATTTTTACCAACCAATTCATTTGCACCTTTCTTCATGATTTCCAGAAGCTTTCTCGGCTGCCCAAATCCATTTTGCGGCTCTTGGAAACAGTAATTCCGGTATGGTATTCATTTAACTTTAATCAAACTGATTTGGTACGCTTCTTCCCTGTATGACACCATCAAGCTCATTTCAGGGAGTAACAGAACCCATGTTATACATTGGAATGCTGTTTAGTATGTTTGCTTGGCATGTTGAGGATCACTATTTGTACAGGTAAATGCTAGCTTTTTGACAAATTCAGCCCACTAAGAATTTTTGCTGTACATTTTTTATTTAATGATATTTACATTGTTTCGGCAGTATTAATTATCATCACTGTGGAGCATCAAAAACTTGGTACGGAATTCCGGGTCATGCAGCTCTGGATTTTGAAAGGGTGGTGAGAGAACATGTGTATACTAAAGATATTCTGTCAAATGAAGGGGAAGATGGAGCCTTCGACGTTCTTCTGGGGAAAACAACTCTGTTTCCTCCAAATATTTTGTTGGAACATGAAGTGCCGGTCTACAAAGCTGTTCAAAAACCAGGAGAGTTTATTGTTACCTTTCCTAGAGCGTATCACGCTGGTTTTAGTCATGGTAAGATTTTGCACTTATACAACAAAGTTTCTAGAAGTTTTTTTCTTTCTTTCTTTTTTTTCTTTTTGGAAGTTATTGCCTCATTCATTGCTCGCATCCAAGTTATGCATCTTTATTTATCCTTCATAATTCAGGTTTTAACTGTGGAGAGGCAGTGAATTTTGCCATTGGCGATTGGTTTCCTTTAGGGGCCATTGCCAGCAGGCGATATGCACATCTAAACAGAGTTCCTCTGCTACCTCACGAAGAACTTTTATGCAAAGAAGCAATGCTCCTCTATACAAGTTTAGAACTCGAAGATTCAGATTTTCCTTCTGCAGACTCGATGTTTCATAATAGCATCAAGATATCTTTTGCTAATTTGATGCGCTTCGAGCATTGTACTCGCTGGTTATTAGTTAAATCTGGGGCTTGCACAAATGTCTCCTCACACTCTCATGGCTCAATTCTCTGTAGTCTCTGCAAACGCGACTGCTATGTGGCATATGTTGACTGTGACTGTCACATGCATCCATTGTGTCTTCGACATGGTATGCTTCGTTCAATAGTAGTTGTCATTTTTGAACTTTGATCACATGGGATGTGGTTGGTTGGCTCATTAATCAATTGCTTCTTCCGTATTCTTTAGCAGGGAAAAGAGAAAACCATTAATAGTTATTAATAACTTTTCAACGATTGTATTGTATGTAGTATTTTCTGACTTTACGTTTCAATATTATCACTTTCCAGATATCGAATCTCTTGACTTCACCTGTGGGAGCAAACACACTCTTTACTTGAGGGAAGATACTGAAGATATGGAAGCTGCGGCCAAGAGGTTTGAACAGGAAGATGGTATATTGGATGAGATAGTTAAGCAGATCAAGGCTGACAGTAACATTTATTCGTATCCCTTGTCAAGTATGTTTCAGAGAGCTGAGGCCGATGGATATACCCCTTATTGCGAGATAAAATTTGAACCTGTTGAATCTTCTCACTCAGGCTCAGATCACTTAATGAATATTCAAGAGTGTGCTATTCAAAGTCAATGGGCTTTGAGGCATTGCTCAGGATCAGAATATCACAAACCTGAAGTGTCTGATTTTTCCTTCGTTTCTGCTGCTTCTGCTCTTTGCTCTCTTTCAGACCCTCTTGAGAGTTATTCTTATGCTACTAAAAATGTAAGTTTATTTATCTGTTTTATCAGTGTTTTCTTCGTTCTGGTAGCTAATGTTTGTATCTTTGATCTTCCCTCTAATTTGGATCAGATGTAGAATACTTTAATCCTGACATTTGTTATTCTTATCCGGCAATCAGGATGAGGGGCGTGCAAAGTCGGGCATCATTAATTCTGAGGAGCTTTGTGAAAGAATGTCCAGTAGTGTATGTGAATCTTTAGTATCCCCTACACGGAATCGCAACGGCTCGATTAAACCTCAGGGGGGTGATCTTTATAGATTAGAGATGAAATCCATGGTGAATAATGACAGTGATGATTCTGATTCAGAGATATTTAGGGTGAAGCGGCCTTCTTCTTTGAAGGCAGAGAGGAGAAATGGGAATGATCAGATGTGTCCCAAGCATTCTGACCACCAGGTATTGGCAATATTTTGGTACGGTGGATGTCCTACTAGTGTGTGCTTGCTGAATCTTCCACGAGTGTGTCTGTGAAAAAGTCTTGGATCATTAGTCTTTATATATTTGTTGACTGAATTTATGTTTTAATTATTAAAGTGGGTCCTGCGTATCGTATGGAATTTGATGCATGAATCAATCTGTACCTGGCTTTTGAATGGAGAGATTCTTGGTTTGCATTTGAATGGACTTATGATCATCTATATGAATATGGGCAGGGACTAAAACGATTGAAGAAAAACTCTGATGAAGGAAGAAGCGGTCAACTAATAGTAGATTACAGCAGAAGCAGTGAATCAGATTACAACAACTGGAGGTACCCGGCAAATCACAAATTTGATAGCGAAAGCGGTACGAGGGAAAGATATCCGAAGGTTAATAATGGCATTCCCATTTCCATAAGGTACAGGAAATTAGGAAACGAGGACTTGAGTGGCCATGGAGATCACCACAAGAGGAATTGGTTACAACAGAGTATAATGGAGCCATCATCTCCCACGGAGGTTGGGATTGGACCAAAGCGGCTTAAGGTGCGAGGCCCTTCATTCCTGAGCTTATAGAGAGCCAGATGGGGATGCATGTGTCTGACCCTGCTAACTTGATTTAGCTAAATGGGCATTTTCTAATAACACGGGAAATCCAAAGGATTTGATTCTGGAAGCAGCAGCAGATGAAGACGATGACATTAATTAACCACGTAGGGTAAGGATATTACATTCTTTGGTGCGGCCCCTACAATTTGGGCTGCTGCACTGTGGTGATCTCTGGGGTTGTGGGGCCCAGGTGTTTTTCTAACCCGAGCCCCATAACCCATCCTGCAAAAGCTAGAACTAGTTAGGATTGGCTTAGTCACTCCACTCCCCCCTCCTACTGTAAATTTATTTTGTTTTACTTTTGATCAATCATCAGTCGTATAGGTCTTCATAGGAATGGGGTCTCTCCGTTGCTTACTGATTTTAATGCCTCCCTGCTGCTTCCTGCTTTGTAAGTTCATTCATTCTTTATTGTAGCAACAGGTCTACGTACCTTGAACTACGAAAATAATTTTCATAGAAAGTTACCCCTTTTATCCATATGACGCTCCCTTTCGTAAGTAATTCATATAGCACCATAAAAAGGTCACATTTTAGTAGTGAAAGACTGTACAGGTAGGTTACTAATTGCTATTGTGTCTCTGTTTAGCGTTTACTTTCTGGGAAAGAGGGTTAGATTTTTTACTAGTTATGGCTGGGGAAAAAAAGGAGATTTTTTAATATTTATGAATATAATCGATCTTTGCAGCCTTATAAAGATGCTCAATGTGTTTTTGCTTCTTAGAAAAAGATGTGCAGATAACAATAGGAAGATTATAATATAATTTTAATAAATATTACTATCTTCAGTCCTAATTATAAGATTTTATTTGTAGTCTACAAATGGGATCTTATAAATAGGACCTGAGATAATATATAATAATCTCTTGAAAAAAGAATGATATTTTATAAATCTAGTTGTTGTGTTTGATCAGGAAGGGAGGAGCATTTAATCATATACTATTTACTTTGATATCTGCATTGGTCAATAGCAAGTGTGTTTACAGGGGCCGGGACCTTTGTGTGTGACCCAGCGTTGAAATGAAGTGTGGAATGATATTTTAATAACAGATTTTTCATATTAAACATTGCGTATAAATGTAAAGCCCGAAAAAAAAAGAAAACATTGCAGTATAAGGGATTGTAGTACCCTTAAAACAGGGTATGAACCGTAATTGTACTCGCTTGTCGCTAACGCTAATAAGGCCACGCCACTAGCCTGTTCTCTAGTAGTTGCTCTTCTTTATCCGTTCAAAAACCAACATAGTTAACAATTATTTCATAGTTGCTCTTCTACTAATAATGGATCTTAACTAATTCATAATCCACAAGTATCATGGCCTTGTTCACTATTGACCCGAACTGGGTTAGCATTGATTACTTAGTTAGCACTTGGCATTAGAAATTAACCATGCTTTTCCCCTCAATTGTTGGTGACTGTTCTAGTCCGCAGGAACTAGCTTTGTCTAATCCATATGAACAGCCTACAGCTGACTAAATTCTCATCCATTGGTCTTATATATAGCTTCTGTCTTGTGTCGAGTAGGACGAGGGCAGATTCAAATGCCAAAACTTTTTACCATTGTCAAAGTAACACCACCTTTGTTTGGAAATAAGTTGGCGCACATCAATCTAATGTGATCACTTATAACAACGTAATTACTGGGTGTCAAGAGTTGCATCACCTTCCGTTGATGGATCCCAACCTGGGGGTTTGATGTTTGGCCAATCACCGCGACATCCCAATCTTATGTAGAGGCTTTTCTTACCTTCAACAAAGGCACAAGTGAGTGAAATCGGTCATGTGCTAATACATCTCATAACATACTCCTTTCAGAGTCAAGTACATAAAAGTTGTATGATGTTTTTATTAGTTTCAACTGACAGTGATGCAGACTCCAACTGTTATCCTAAATTAAGCATTGAGAAAAGTTTTTTTTTTTTTTTTCCAGCGCCAATTGGCATGTAATGAAGTTACTTATAAACCAGGTGAGTTATTCGCAAATAACCACAAAACTCTAATTTGCACGAAACTACTACAAGAGCAAGATGACATTCCTGGGGGCACAAAAGCCTCCTCAGTTAGGTTTCTCCATTCACTGGTCAAGACCGAAGCTTATAAAATGAATAAGATCTGGTCTGTTCTCTTGATCCAGCATGATAAAAGAGGCAGAAAGAACAGAGAGGACAGAGATGAATGAATAAGTGATTAGGTTAAAAATTTGATTTCACGTATTTAATCAACTATGGGCTGAGAATTTCATCTTGTGGTGAACACCACGCCATAACATAAGATGCTAAACTGGCCTCACATCTCACAACTAAAAGAGCTTGAGTTATTTAGGTTAAAAATTTGATTTCATGTATTTAATCAACTATGGACAACTTTCACTTGGTAGTGCATGATAGTACGATAGAGAAGGAAAAAGGATGGTTAAAAGTTAAAATTTTATTCCTCTTGCTTGGCATGACTGAAGAGTAGAGGCAGTGAAAAGATATTATTTATATTTATGATTATAATTTTATCCAGTTAATATACACACATTTTTCATTAGAGTTTTGAACTCGTTACAATGCACTCTCACCTCAATTTTGTCCCTTACTCCATCCCCATCAAAGCAAGACCCAAAACTTCTAATCATCCCTTTGAACACTCTTATTTTCAAAATTCTCATTTTCATGCCTTAGAAGCACATGCCATTTTTTCCAAGTCAAGGTATCAACCCAACCATCTATTACTGGCTTTTACAATTTTGACATCTGAAATGAAACGGAACTCATTGGATCTAACCAGAAAGCAGAAAAGCCTTGATAATAAGTACCTGGAAGTTTCTTGTCTGCGAGAATTAACTGTTTTAGGGCACTCAAACATGCTTGCGCCACACTTTTGGCATGAGCAGGATCCCATCCCTGAAGCTTAACAACCACATCTGAATTTGTGTACGCAAGCTTGCCATCTTTCATGTTTTGGTGAGTTTCCTTCCTTGCAGAATCTTCATCTGCATTTTAATCAAGCCAAGGCCCAAGAGGATTTATCTCTCATTTTGTAGCAGCTACTATTAATTAGCCATAACTCATGGTTCCTAGCCTGTCATCTTAGGAGAATTGACAATAACAAAATCAACCAAATCCATTAAAATTGATAATCCTATCTAGTAGTTGGAAAGTAAACTTTATAACAATGGCATAGAAAAAAGAAGGGCATTTATACTTGCAACGCTAGTGTGTTTTATCGCATCAAGCATGTTTTTATGTGAGGTAAACATTAGAAAGAATGAGTTAGTGTCAGACAAAGAGATTATGGATCAAAAACACATTGGATGTAGCTTTGCAATGCAGACCAATCCGGAAAAGAAAATGAACGGATGGATGGATGAATCAACCGATAGGCACTGAGAAAAAGAAAAGCTAAGGGCAGATATTGAAGAATTGAAGGGAAAGAAAATATTGTAAATGATGGTTGCCAATCCTGAATAAAGTTGAATGTTCAAGAATTGGTAGGTGCAAAGTTTTAAATATGTAAAATCCCAAGCAAAGCATGGAGCAGAAACATATATCCAGTAAATAGTAATTACGAGAGTGGAATAATAAACTCACCTGGTGCTTCTGTCTGTGATAACCAGACAGTAAACCCCGCATAAAGATGCCGCCAGTTATCAGCTCGTCCAGCAGCACCTTGTTGCCCTCCTAATGTTGCAACTACAGACCGCACATGACTGGAGACCACTCAATTAGAGAAATAAATGCTTTTGTTTTCCAGTTGCTAACTTAGCCAGGAGCAAAAAAATAAATATTAGACTTGCCTACTTAGGCTCTCAAGCACAGCACTTTCTGCTTTTGCAACAGAGTCAGCACCTTCAACAAGCACCCCTGGAATTTTTGACATTTATTAATCCACTACAAAATATGGTATTCACGTCACTTCAAGTATTCAGATGAATAGACTAGTTGAAGCCCGGATGGATTATTACAGTAAGATGTTCCACCTAGCCCCTTCCCCTTTCTGGAATATGGAAAATTGTGCTCGAGAATAGATGGAATAGCCTGAAGCAAGGATGACGACAGACGAATGGAAGACACGGGAAGATTGTGAGAATCCTACTGTGTCCTTTGCCAAAAAGTTGAATCAAGATATTCATATCATGGCTAGCATTCTAGTGAGGCAGCAAATAGAATGGCGTGATTAGGTCACACTTGCACATTAAAGCATCAGCCATTTTAATTCTTAAAAGTAACAGAACTCATAAAACCATTATTTCTTGCACTACCAAATACCAACGACTGATGCTAGAGCTCTAGCTGTAAAGACAGAGTATTGAAGATGTCATGGTATATTAGAGTGTAGAGTGTTGATGTTTCTGTCATTGATTTCTCAGAATCCACAAGCATGAATGGAAGAGGAGGAGCAAGTTTACTGAAAAAGGCAAGGCTTAGGAATCACACTTACATGAATCAATGGTTTGCTTGGAATATGTTTCCAGTAACTCTTTTGTACAGAGTGGTGCGTACCTGAAAAGATATCAGGCGTCAAAATCAAAAGCTGTTTGAGGAGAATTTCATGTCAATTATAGGCATAACTGAAAGTTGCAAGCATTTTTGGAATCAAGCTTAAGCCTATTATGTAACATGAGAATCATCTTCTATCACGAAAAATACAGATATAGATTTGGAATGAAAGAAGCTTCGTGTAAGGTGTTCAATGGTGAACAGATGACTGGAGATTGACTGTCAGAATCCCAAATGCATATACATACCCGAGACCAGTAGCAAGCTCTCGAGCCACTATCTGGTTCATGTCGGTTGAATCACCCACAAGGTAGATTGATGTTCCTTTCAGAAGTTGTGTAGATCCTGCTGTAAGTGATTCCCATGATTCTGTGATGTCAGGCCATTTCAAATCAGGATCATGTTTCTTTAGGTTCACAACCAGTTGATCGTCATCAATGTACCTAAACAAAGTAGACATTTCAACCAAAGGAATCAAAGGCTAAAACCTGAAACTCAAATTGATAACTTTCAAATGCACAAACCATATTGTTTCATCAGGTTTTATCTTGTCAAAAAGATTATTAGTCTCTATGAGTGTGATTGGAGATGCGGGTCGCTGCACCCTGACAGCTAAAGACGTATGATTTGCATCCACTGATATATGTCTAGGATTTTGGACATCTTGGCCTCCTATGTTTATTCTCAACTCTACCTCAGAAGAACTATCAGAAAACTGCATTTATCAGCAAAACGAGCATTAGATGATGTCAAAAGCCATCCGAGAGGGGGGGGGGGGTTTAACAAACAACATGCTTTTCTATGGATTGAATGGATGGGTGGCAAGGACAAACTGACACGGGTTCAATCAATAGAATGTCGAATCCTAGTTAAAAACCCAATTGCTCACAAGATATCTACAGAGTTACATAATGGGTCGATTGTGGGAAAGAAATGCGGTTGTTTTGTTATGCACGTCACATTCACACACTATATTTATATACTCATTACATGGCATCACAGCACAAAGCACCCAATTAGATTAGAGAATTCCGATCACTAGCCAGTTTGAAGGTGGGCCATGCACATCAAAGTTGGATTCAAATGCTTAGCGGAATCTCATGCTCCAATCAACAAATATCAGTTCGACCTACGATAACAAAGTCACCAAGAACCAAAAAAGTTACCTCGTAACTCCTAGTGGCGACAGGGGAGGTGGAAGAGCATTTGCAAGAGAAAAGAGCTTTGGATGATGTCAGGAAGAGCGCAGAATTGCGATAAGAGTAAGGAGAAAAGGAGGGAAGCGATAAGAGATTGGGTCTGAGAAATGCAAAGGAGGGCTTTGGAAGCGAGAATGCTAAAGGCTTGGGGGTGTTGGGGGTTTTGGAGAGGAAGCAAAGACCAGCAGGAGATGACGACGCCATTTTCAGACCACGATCGATACGGATTGTGTTGTGATAAGAATCACGTCGACATTCTCATATAACCCATGTTCACTGTTTTTTTCTTTCCCTTTCTTTTTTTCCTGTGACAAGGGACGAGATTGAATCCAAATATATCCGTACCATATGTATGTTTACTAAATTTATCCATCAAATAAAATTTTAAGTAGTATATTAAGAACTTTCTGGTAAAAAAAAAAAAATCCGAACCGTCTAAAATTTAATTGAAATAGTTAAAATTTGTAATCTTTTTTTTTCAGTAGTATATTAAGAACTTTCTCAGACTTTTCCAAGCAATTAACTGCATCTCTTGGGCTGGAATTTGAACACTGGTTTAATTTTCCCTCAAAGCCTGAATGAGCCCATAAACATTAATATGGGCCTTGTATCTATGCACAAATTGGGCTTTTCCAATAAAGTTGAAAACCGGAGAACAGAGACGTAGCCCATTGACAAATCAGATCTCTATCTTGCATATATGAATGAAATCATGATCAATAGTGTAATGATCCCAATTTTATTATTCATATATGATTTCCCGGACATTATTGACCACAATTTTATTCTTTATTAATCCTGATGGCCCGTTCAGGTATTAAAAGAATAGTAACTGAAAAACTCGTAATACTTTTCAAACAAGTTATGAATTTTCAATTTGTGTGTATCATCCTTGTGCTGTGTAGGGGCCATGCTAATCTCATCCATACCGTTCCAATTTTATTAGATGCTCACGAAGGGACAATGAGTTGTGAATTCTCACCATGCTATTGTTTGTTCTTGTAAAATAGTTTCATTTTTTTGTACTAGATGAAAAATAATTTGGGCTAATGAGAAAAATTATTCACGCAGACAAATTACATTTTTTTTTTCCTGAAAAGAAAAATTAGAGCAGACCCCTTATATGTGTGGAGAGTTTGACACCGAGTGAATTTATGAATAGTATGATTTTCTGCACCAATTATGTTGTATTACATTGATTGATTGATAATTATAAGCTAAGTGTAAGATATTGGTGGGGAGATGAAGCTATGGCTCTGCTGTCCAGTAATATCAAAAGTCTCTAAAATTTTTTAGCAAGAATTTATGAGTCTAAATTCTCTGGAAAAAAAATATTTATGAGTGAGTTATGGAAATAAATTTACAGGAGAAGATATAAATAAATAAAAGGAGGTGATGATGTGAACAAATAAGGATGAGAATTGATTTAGGGGAAATAAAAGGAAAGGGAGGGCGGGAGTGGGAGGGGAAAGGGGAAAAGGGGGAAAGCAATAAAAAGGAGGTAATAATGAATGAATGATTTCAGATGTCAGAATTTTGGGATGAAGATAAAGTCGCCACTGTCACTCTCTCCCTCACATTCACACCCCCCCCCCCAACCTCTCCTCGCCCATTTCTTCGTCACCTTCATTTCTATTTTCCATACCATATTTACCATTTTAACCCCAGATTAAGAATAAAAAGTTGTCACAGCCATATATGACACCCCCCACAGTAACTCGGATGAAGGAGGTTGTGAGATTAAACTCCTAAATGATATGGGAAGTGGGTACGTGGATTAATAAGGTTAAAAAGAATGAAAATAATAATGTAATGGAGATGAAGCGAAACACCATAAATTTTAATTTAGGGAAATGAAACAAATTTTAGTTAGTGAGCCCAGTATTGTTTGAGTCTGATGATGTCATGATGATATAAAATCCAGGACATGACAGAACATGAGAGGCGAATGGATGAAATGGGCCAGGATAAGGCCCAGTAAAGCAATAGCGCTTCGAAACAAAGTGAAGGGGGCAAAAGTCAAATCTGTCGTGCTCTGCGCGTGTGACTCTCTGGGTGCGTGCGTGTGTTTTCCATAATTTTTTTTTTTTTTTAAAAAAGGAATACTCGTCACCAGTAAGAAGAAATGAAAAGCAAGAGCGGGGAGAAGGGTAGGGTGCGGTGGGCCTAGGGGAAGGGGAAGGTATGGTCGCAATCAGTAGATTCTCTCTCATGACCGTGAATGGCTGACCGACTTGCCCCAACGACAAAGCTTCTCTCTCTGTGATGCTAAGACGACAGTCCCGAGGAAAGAGAGAGAGAGAGGCGTCAATCATAAAGCAATGGATTGCCATATCATTTTGCCTCCTCTCTCGTGTTCCTGCTCCCTCTCTCCTCGCCCAACGATCAAGTAACTTTAGCATTTCCCCTCCCCTCATTCGTATAAAACCTACAAAATTCAGTACCATCATCCAAAATTCCCACATTAAATTAATTATACTCTTTCATGTATTTGAACACCCCTCCCATCTGCTCTTATAGTCTTACTAGTTATATTATCTCTTATCTTTAATATAGAAGAGTAACATTCAATTTAGTACTAAATATAAGATTTTAATTCACATTTTTATCATTTTTTTTAAGTTAGTCTTTAAAACAGTTGTATATGTTAAAAGTTTCATTAAATGATAGTTCTAGCTAATATATATGATTAATAAAGATATTTTAAGGAAGGTAACATTTGTCTATTACAGATAATTAACTGAATTAATTTTTTTAAATCTGTTCAAATTAGTTAACTAATTTTTATATTAAAGACAAGAGATGATAGTATTATGTAGTAGTACATTTTTTTGGTTGAATATATCTATATATTAACCATTACTATACTAGCACTATTTACTGATTATGATCTGTACGTCAACTTCAAATTAACGAGGTGGTAATTAAAATACTTCCAGCATATATTTATCGGTGAAGCTTGAATCATTCCCTACTGGCTCCCTTGTTCGTTTCAAAATCCAAACCATGACTAGAAAATGAGATTTATATATGCTTCATTGCTTCCTATAATTCTTATTTCTCTCAAAATAAATGACAACATCCACACACGCATTAACACTGGCCATGTTACTCTCCCCCGCTTTAATTATTTGTCTTTTTTCAGTTGCATTCTCTCCCTTCAGATTCCCACCATAGAGTGGATGGGGATTAGATTTTAATCTGAGCCCAGATGACAGTAGTAGTACCAATATATACGAAACGCAATGTCGTCGTAAGGCGCCTCACAGGTAGGGCAGATTGAGCTGTCACGCGCACATGTATATGTATCATGTCACTGATCATCAATGTCCCTCTGGAATCACCAACGCATTTACATATGAGAAGACTAGGAGCATTGAACGACGTAAACGTCACAAAAACGACCTGCGCTGTGAAGAAACATCAAAATCATGGACCATTCTACATCAAAACTCGTGAACCTTTTACCCTGTTTTCACCCCACATCTCGTACGACAGTTGACCAGTGACCACCATCGTCTCATAATTTTAACTCTCTCTTCATTCCAATCACTTTTCTTCATTCCCATAAATATGAATGGAGGTTTCTTTCACATCAGTGATACATGCACGGAAATTCCATAAGAGCCCAGAGAGGGTGGTAATTGGCAGGTAGGGGACATAAGAAGGACCATCGTATCAGAGTGCAACTTTTTCATGCAAAACGTCTCGAGCTACTCAAGTAGTAAAACCTCTCTCTCTCTCTCTCTCTTGTGATGAGATGAAAACAAGGGCGTCAACTCTGTTGTTTTCTTCCATAACACTCTGAAAACGGCAGAAGAAGCAGATCTGATCGAGGGGCATCGATCCATGCAGGGATGGGATGATGAGATGCAGACATGTGGACTGAGGATGAATCATGGTGTAATGATGAATAAATAATTAGGAGTGTGTGTGAGAAATAAAGAAGAGGAGTGAACTGTGATGTGGGGTTGCTTGCTAAACTGTACAAATTGGTTTGTCTACAAGACTATAAGTGAAGGGAGAGAGTCCTAGCTAGCTAGCACCATGCCCTCTTCAAGCTTTCGCTCTCTCTGTCTCCTTCTGATCTGTACTACTCAATATACCACATTTGGTATTCCTCTCAACATTTTTATATAATTCGACAGTATATATGTTTCTTAAATTATCAACATGCGTCAATGAATGTCAATAGCCTAACATGAAAGATTTTTTTTATAAACGAAAGATTACAGGTTCAATTTTAATTATAACTTAGTGCTTGTTTTTTTTTCATTCAAGTAAATGCATGAATGAATTGAGTTTGCTTTTAGCAAAGGATAAATGTTTAATTTTATCCCCATTATTTTTTTAAAAAATCATGAGTAAATATCACACACACAAAAAAAATTAAGCACAAAATTACACCACTAGACAAATCAGAATATTTGGTGCACCTAAGAAATAATTTAAGAAGTAACATTGCACCTTTACCATTTAGCAATTAATAAAATGGATAGATTAATTATTGAAAGATATGATTGTACAGAGTTTGGGGGTGGCAATGCCAATTGTCACCCTTGCATTGCATGGCAAGTTTTTCCAAAAGTTTAAAAAGTGTCATCTGATCAATTATTATCACAATCATGAAACAATGTGATCAAAAGTCAAAAGAAATTAGGACCAAATGTTTCTCCCTTTTTTCTTTTCCTTTAATTCTAAATTAATTAATTATTACCTTCCTTTTTCAATGATAAGCTCTTCTTTCATTGCAAATCAAATCTAAACTTAGTTTTTAGTATGTATTTATCAGTAATTAGTTGGCTGATCAATTTAATAAGGTAGGCTAAACTAAAATCAGTTGGTAATTAGGTGGCATTTGTTGTAAAGAAGAGGGGGAAAGGGCAAAGAGAAAGTACAAGTATACACGTTTTGATTATATGTCGAATCAAGAATATTATTGATTATTTATTTAGCTTTTATTTTATTTATAAAAAATTTAACCCATTATAAAATTAAAATCTAAGAATAAAGGGAAAAACCTAATCCAAGTGATCATTATCATGCATGTTTGGTACGTACGTGCTTTAATTTTGTTTCCCTTTATATAAATGAATAAGCTTTGACGATAATGATTATCTCTTTTCACCCATGCCTTTCGGCAAATCCATTGTTGAACAAGCTTCCTTATTTTTTCCTCCCAAAAAAATGGCATTTTATTGATTTGTCTGTCGCCTCAATTTATTGATCCGGTAAAGGAGGTTGTATTGCGCATGGCATAAACAATTTGTTTTGCGCATGTAATTTTTCTAATTTTTGAACCTTGATGGCAAAACGCTATAACTTTATACTAATAACCTTCATATAGTAGTAGTTGATTTTAGTCCATTATTTTACTCATGAAATACATAATATATATTGTAAGACAGTAAGACGCAAAATCTGAAATTTAGAAGCTATCTAATTCAAAGTCAAATTTTAATTTAGAAAAGCGTGTGTGTGTGTGTAATGCGATCAATAAATACCCCATCAGTATATACCATAGCTAATTGCACCGTTAATAAATCATAAACAGTGCAATTCATTCTTAAATTCTGTCGAACGCATGACAAACTTTTATGATTATATGTTGGACGACGGAAAGGAATTGATAACACGGCCAAATACACCAATTAAAGTTAGGGCAAATTAGTGAAAAGTTTCTGTTTCAAAATTTTATTCGACAGAATGACTTGATGAACTGGAGTACTGGTATTTTCTGTATATGAAATCTCGCGGAGTATTGGTACTTTTTATGTATAAAAGCATATCAGATAATTCTGACTAATAAAATTTTGAAACATTGATTTTTCACTGGTTTTCCCTCAAATAAGTTATTTAACGTTGAGTAATATTATTGGATGGTGGATGGGGGGGTCTCTTTTTGTTTCTTATTGTTGTTAGGAAAAGATTAAAACAAAAAACAAAAAAAAAGATTGTGTCCCGCTGGAATAGCTGTAACGTGATGAGCCTATGTCATGCATTCATGCAAAACAAAAAAAAGGAATGGGAAATAAAGAAGCAATAAAAAGAAAAGAGAACAAAAGCTAAAGCATGTAAATATTATATAACTTTTTCTTTATCTTCCTCAAATTTAACAACATCTTGTTTGCTTTTGCTTCTTTTGAACAATCCCTCTTTTCATATCCCACATGCTCATCCATCCATCCACCATTCAGCTAACTCCTTCAACAACCTCTCCTTTTAATTAAACCCAGACCCTTCTTTTAAATTTTTCATTTTCTCCTCAATTTTAAAAAATATCACTTGTATATAGTCCCCTTTTTTCGTTTGAATATTATAAATTAAAGTTCCTTTGATTACGTTTTGGGGGTGAGGTTCTAATCAATGCCTCCTAAAAGGAACATACCTCTTTGTTTCTTAAAACAGTAAGTAGTTCTAGCTAGATCTTATACGTACCCTCTTATATTTAATTGTTTCTCTTTATACTTCATTGAGGTACACTTAATGCACCTTTTGTTCAGAGTATTTAAATTCCCAATATCATTTACAATTCGACTAGAATTAAGCGCAATTAAATATTATATTCTTTTCATTTTTTAAATAAATTTATAGTACCGGTAAAAAGTTCTTTAAAATATTTAATTAAGGTAGGCTTATGTGTGTGTGAAAAAAATACGTTGGTAAAACGAAATGTGCATGAAATAATAATAATAATAATAATAATAATAATAATAATGGCACCATGCAAGTTGCACAAATCTTAAAATCTTATTAAGCGTAAGCTGTAAATTCGAACTGTCAATAGAGAGTATATATGATAAACGCGTGGGTTATGATTAAAAAAAGCTTGCTGTTGTATATTATTAAATTATGAGTACATACATAATAAAGAGCCTTTAAAGTCCAAAGTGGTGGAGGGAAAGGCTAAATTAATAGATGCCTTGATAGAAGGATAATTAGAATGAACACGGGTAACTTTGAAGCTTGGAAGAGAGGAAGAAACTTACACAAAAAGGTAGAGAAAGAAAAAGAAAACTTACTATATGCTGAGAAAACTGTCCCTGTAGGACTCCTTTTTGACTGTACTAAAAAAAATTCTGCTTCGTGTTTCTTTCCCTCCAATTATTGATTCCTCTTTACAATTAATTTAATTATATCATATCAATCATTTCCATGTATTCATCGTCTGGTTTCAAATTTTCCTCATTAAGTTCACACTACTCTACAACTTGATTATGCCAGTATATATTCCTTGTCACAAGAGTCACTCACAAATAGTACTGTAAATAAAGAACCCATGATTTTGACACCTAAATAATCTTTTTTTTTTGGCCAAAAGACACCTAAATAATCTGGATAAAATCAAATACTGATCCATCACTTCGAGAAATGCGCGTCTAATCATAGTTATTTAGTGACTATAATTTTACTTAGACTATTAGGCCATCGTTAGATGATGATTTAACTAACCATAATTGAAATGGACGTAATTTTTGTAACAAACGTGATTATTGAAAAATACTCCTAAATTTCTTTCGACAAATTTTGTTTAAGTGATATATATCGAGTTTTATTCACTCAATTCAATTGTCGTTGACAATTGGGCATTCATTTTTCTTTTTATAGTATTGATCTTTTTTTTCCTGAAAGTAATTCAAACCCATAGTCAATTTAAAGGGGTTCGTTGTAACATTTAATAAAAGGACCTGAAGAGTAGTTCAGGCCGGGGGGAAAAAAAAGGACCTGAAGAGTAGTGAATGATATGAATATACTCCTATTTGTGAATACAAGGCATTGTCGTGTGACCTTTTTGAGTCTCTCTTTTTTTTTTTTTGAAGTATCAGAACAAATTAAAATATCGTTCGTACTAACAATTTCTGTGTATGATCATTTCACATAACGTCAAAAGTACGCAGTACACATATAGAATCACCTAATTGATTCCCTCTACATATGTGTGTTATGGTTATGGGTACACTCAGGTTATATTTTTTTGTCCATCGCTCACATAATTTAGATAATTTGCAATGCCTTAGCTTTCTTTTTTGGGCTAAACTAAACGTTTAGATGAATCTGAGATGTAAGACTTGTTAAGGATAAAATAGATATAAAAAAACTCAGAGTTAGGTATCGATAAGATCTTTGTATTATGCCCTTATAAAGTATCCTCTCCAATCTCCATTGCCTTCTAAAAAGATTATTTTATCTATAAAGTAAATCACTTGAAGAGTCATTAATGATTATTTGTTAATTTGTTCCTGTAATTAATACATAAATGTGACTCTTCATATATTTTTTTCCTTCGAAATTCCATTATTAATGGAGATAACTATCATTCATGGATTTATGTGAATTAGTGTCGCGTAATAGAAACCAGGGAATCAGTTTTGGTGTTTATCCTTTTGATGAGCACTCTAAACTCATCAAATTTGAATCATTCATATCTCATTTAGATAGTTCAGATTTGTTTTCTTTTTTATTTATATTTATTCAGAATAATTATTTTAATATATATAATCTAAAATAGTGATGATTTGTTAACTGTCATTTTTTTCAAAAAATAGTTTTTTAAAAAAATAATTAATTAAAAATTTTAAATCTGAACCATTTAAATCGAGTATAAATGGTCCAGATCTGATGAGTTTAAGGTGCTCATCAAAGTATGAGTTGCACCTTTATCAATGAAGTCAACTTTTGTTAATAATGTTTCTTAATTCTTATCAATTTTTAACACTTTCATTTATTAATTATTTAGTTATCACTGCTTCTCTAAATAAAGAAAATGCTAACGACTTCAAGTAATATCATCCATGACCCATTTTATAGATTTGTTTCTTTTTAATTAGGAAACGTATCATCGTCCTTTTATCCTATGATCTAATTAACGGCTAGAAGAGTCGTGAGACTTCATCCAGTAAATGTGCGGCATTTTATGTGCACGTTATTTTGGATCAATTCCCTCTACCGACAATTATTATTATGAGATTAAGACGATGAAACAATATGAAAGAACATCATAAATTAATCAATCTTTCTTGTTGATCATTTTTCCCTTGACATTCAAATTGTAATAGCAAGTTTATGGCATGACCCGATAAAATTACAAGTCTTATAAACATAAATTCATATTCCCTAGTTTAAATTTATCCAATACGACTCACACTTGAATTCCAACAAGTTCATAGTAGAATTGCTTAATTATTCTTTGCTTGTTTCACATATTTCCATGCTGTGTTTTTCAAAGAATCTTTGTTTTCTTCTAGATTGATCGTTGTCATTAATTCAAAACAAAGATGACATGTGCATAATTCTAGTACCTTTCAAACTCAAAAAAATATACTCTAATATGACTTGTAGTCGGCAATAATCATGTGTGTGTATGTGTGTGTTGAAGTAAATGGTTGAATTTCATACGCAAATGCTTTATATGAAAGCGGAAAGAATATATGCTTTAGATAACGATTTTAGGTATGGGCATGAAAAAGGAGACATATTGATTTTCGTATGGGTTAGCAATTTCCTCGGAAAATCAAATTCCCTGAGCATGAGAGAAGAATATATATATATATATATATATATAAGATTCCTTTTTATTTCTTTGTTTTTTCCCCTTTCACTTTATTATTTATCATTGCCCTTTTCATATATTTCAATCATCTCTTGATGACTATGTTTCAATTCTTTTCGTGACTATAAAGTCCATATTCTCAGGTCTTTCCTTTCCTCCGAAAGTGTAAAGCATGTGACGGTGTCTAGCATCGATCAATCACACCAAATTCCTTACATTCACGCGCATATATAACACATTCAGCGAGAGCGATAGATCATAGAGAAGGGAATATTTGATGAGTGAAACAATGTAAGATGATACTTCCTTCTGTACTTAATATAAGAGCTTGTTTGGTTTTTATTTTGGTCCTAATTATAAAATTCCAATTCATTTTGTCTCTCATTTTTATCTATTTTCTTCTAAGGTAGTCATTCTAATAAAGATAGTTCTAGCTAATAAACTTGATTGACAATAATATTTTAGGAAAGATAATACTTATTTATTACAAATAACTAATTTAACTAATTTTTTTAATATACTTAAATTAGTTAATTATCTCTTATATTAAAGACCGAAGATAGTATATTCCACTCACAATTATTACTTTCATTTATGTTACATTTTCTTTAGATATATGAGCATACACAACATTTATATTCAAGATTAAATAGAATAACATACTCTCGTTATATATATATATATATATATATAGGAAAAAAATAAAATTTAAGTATTTCATAAATCTAAATTAAAGTGCTATTACAATAATTACTAGGGATTGCTTCATACTCAGCGATAATATAGGTAAAGCTCTCTCTGATCTCTCTCTCTCCCCTGTCTCTTTCTCTCGCAGATTGCAAAACACCATATAAATCCAATTAGATTTCATATATTTACGAACAAACATAAAATACGTTGATTTGGATCCCACAAGAGTTCTTTTTCTTTCTTTACTTTTTTCCCTTTCTCTCCTGCTCTCTTCTCCTTTTGTTGCTTTCTGTCTTTCTTGTCTCCTTGTCTTTCTTTAGCTCTTTTTTGCTTTGCTTTTCTTTTCCTTTTCATTTCTTTCCTTTTCTTTTTAATTTTTTCCCCCTTCGCTTTCGTATTGTTTAGCTTCCTTTTTCTCTGGTTTTCTCAGCAGGTACCTGATTCTCATTCCAGCCCTACAGATATATAGCTTGCTAGATATCTCTTTCATCAGAGAAAAATATAATTATTCCTTTTTCGAAATGATTAATAATACTACTATATCAGAATAACAAAGAAGAGAGAGAGAGAGAGAGATCTCATATTGGCTGTCCCAAAGTGAACTCCAGATCAAGATTAGGCTTCTTAGGACTTGATCCTGAAATGCTTGACGATGAGCTCCCATCTGATATTCTCTCTTTCTGTAAATTCAGCAAAAGAGTATAAACGTAAGAACAAAAATAAAACACAGTACGGGAACATTATTAAAAAGAAGCCCAAAAAATATCCTTCTGAATTTCCAAGTTTATATATATGCCACTGGATCTGACGCACTCACTCACTCTGTGTGTGTGTGTGTGTGTGTGTGTAGCTGCAATGCTGCATACAAGTTTTTTGAATAATATAAAATTATAATCCGTGCGTGCATGCCGTCTCAATTCCTCGTACATTGAGCAGTTAAAATTCAATAAGGTAAGGGTTTGAGATAATAAAACGCAATGTTACACATAATTTAGATAGTTTTTGAAGTTTTGATTAACATATTATGCATATATACTAGTACTAATTAAGAATTACATCGTCCTTAAAATTTTGTACACCATTATTGGGTCAAAAGGAGTTGGTGGCTAGGGTTTATAGGGTCAAGATTAATTAATACGGTCAATATTAATAAATTAAATGGGATGATAGAGTTAAAGCAGAATTCTTTTTCCACCCCCTTCAAAACCATTGTAAAACTGTGAAAAAGACAGGTCTCCCCACAAATTTGAAAATAGGGAAGGACAAAGCAGCTTTTGAAAAGCCTTTTCCTTTTCCCATCTCCATAAAAACAATAATGTATGTAGTGCATGGTTAGATGGAAAAAGATCAAACGTATTCCCTTTTCCTCTCACCTCCCTTTCAAGTATGCATTATTATATGATAATAATTCCAAACACAGATAGAGATGCTGGCTTAAAAATAAATAAAGCTTGCCAACAAACACTCCAGCTTCGGAAATAAAGGTGATGATGATCAGAGAGAATGCATTAAAAAATTATACCTCAAGACAACTAACATTGTTGTTCCCAACAGAATCAATCTCCTTTGGCTTCCCATGCAACCAAGCTTCTCTGTTACAAAAATGAGAGAATATTTCCAATTACTCAGAGAGCCATGCACAAGAAAAAGCATACTGATAAAAGAAAGCCATCTTTTACTGTCTACTTATATATATATATATATATATATATATATATAAAAGGCCACATGCGAGGAAGTTTGAAATTTCGAAGGGGGCATATAGCTAGCTTTGACAGGAAGATAGTTTTCCAAGAACGGGTGAGAAGGGCTTAGCTTTGACGCTAAGCTTTCGGGGGTCCCATTGTAAATAGGGTTATGTATGAGCCCCACAAAATCATAAAGAAAGAGATATCTCTATTTTTGAGGTAGATTTTGGCAATATCAAACTCTCATGTCTTCTTGGAATATGGTTGTGGTAGTAGTAGGAGGAGGAGGATCTATAGCGGATTTCTTTCTTTTTTACTTCCTTTCCATCCCCCACTAGCTAATACAGATTATTAATTATTACCCCATCATGGAGTTTTGGACAGACAGCACAAAGCAAAACCTGAAATCATCATTTATTCTTTTTGTGATTTTTTGCGCCTAGCTATGTTTGTATCTATATGAGTTTATAGGGGGGGGGAGAGAGATGCTCATGTGAATATATAAAGATAGACATATGCATGAAGACATAATGGTCTCTCTCTCATCACACAAACACACACACACACACACCCTAGTGTTTCTAAATCACATACAAAGTTTGCAACATGACTGGCTAAACATATATATACAGTATATGGAACATTATGAGAACTTTATAATGGAAAAAAAAATGAAATGAACAACGTTTTCACATGGAGCTAATTAAACAAGGAACACATCAATCCAACTTGATCACCAAATGCAAGTGACCGCTGGTTGGAATTTAGATATTTCCTTCTGTTATTGTACAGTGAAGCTAATTGCAAGTAATCATGTATCAATTATAACTATTAAAAGCGTTAATACCTGGAAGAGTTGCTCCAGAGGCGGTGATATTCCTTTTCTTGTTGAACACTTTGTCTTCCCTGCTTGGGAGATAGATCGGATCTTCTCAGATTGTTCATGTCAAACGTTAATTCCTCCGAAGTATCCCCAGATGATCCGTTATCATATCCGTCCGATTGGCCTTCAGGATTAAACAAAAACAAAGTCAGAAAATCAACAAAAGAAAAGAGTTATTAATTAGCCAAGACTAATCTTAATGACAAATTGTGAGAACTTATAATAAGATCTAACCTGTAGAAGAAGCTGCCGCTCTATCTGTGGTTTTCACTGTCCGATACATCTGGAAAATGTTGAAATTTGTTGATCATCACTATCAGTATATGAGAGGTAAAAATCTGCTATCAAATTGTACGACGTAACTACTCGAGGATGATTAGCAGAAACCGAAGAACTTCACAGAAAAGAAGCAACTCCATTAAAAAAAAAAAGAATAAAAAACAAAGAAAAGAAAAGGAGCCTGTAAGGTTTAAATTGGTAGACAGTGCAGTACTAGGTGTGAAGCAGAAGCATTTATGGTTATGGTCTCTGGTGATGTATGGGTGTATGAATATACGTATGTACATGCATGGAACCATGTGACTAACCATGGTTAAGTAGGTACAGGGTTAGGGTAACCCATCTGAGGAAGAGATCATTGAGAAATGATGGTGTTCTGTACTTGCTCATCATCATTTTTTCTTTTCTATAAATCTGATTCGTCATTTTATATAAGAAGTGGACGAAAATATGAATTAATTAACTTCTCTAGGCTTGGCTGCGACTCATTTTGAAATTTCTGGGGGCTTTGTCTTACTCGTTTTCAGAAATCGATTAGTACCTCTCTCTCTCTCTCTCTCGGGGAGAGAGAGAATTGATTTTTTCTTGAACATGGGGGGGTTCAATCTTCCAGGCAAAAAGCTGTTTATGAGCTTGCAGATACAGAGCTCACAGATATAATAAAAAAAGAAGAGCTGAGATATGATACATACGAGACACTCTTTGCAAGGAGAGCCCGTAACTGGATTCCCAGCATAAATATGAATTAATTGCTTCATATGCAATATAGTGAACAAAGAAATTAAGGAAAATTTAGAACATTGCACACAGATCGATGAAAAACAGTTGAATTAACTACCTGTAAATGAGATTTAACGTGGGCTAAAGTAAGATCCTTGACATCCATTAGCTCGAGAACGGATTTGGGTGTAGCCCCTAAAAGCCCAAAGGGAATTATAAGATTAATTAATGAGCTATAATAAGATACACACCAAGAAGAAGAAGAAGAAAAAGAAAGTGAAATTAATCATGGGTGTAAGCGGAAGGAGAAGAAGAAAGGGAAGGGGAAAAGTAAAAGAATGAAAAGAAGGATACTTTCGTGGCCACCCAAAAGCTCAACGGCATGAACAAAGCGAGCATGGAGGGTGGTAGTCCACCGCATCCTGGGAGCTCTCATGCTGCGCTTGGTAGGGAAGCGATGAGACAAGAACCTCGACCTCATCAAACCTTGACCATGATGATGATGAAAAGGAAAAGGGGTGGTGGAGCTTGTACAGGTGGTCGTGTTGTTAACTGCAGCTGAAATAGAAGCATCCAGATTCTGAACTTGAGAGAAAGGAAGAGTTCCGGGATGAGGATGATGAGGAAGGTTCTGGTACACCGGGATTCCTCTGATAGGTCTGAGAAATCCCAGGTCTTGTGTCAAGGGTGGGTGTTGGTGTTGAAACGGAGCTTTTTGGAAGCGTTGGTGAGCGAGGTGATCCGAGGAAGAAATTGAAGGCGTTAATGTAGGAACTGGGTTGGAATTATTGGAGAGTGAAAGGTCAAAAAAGTTACTAGTGTCAGTTTTAGGCACTGATGAAAGCAATGGGCTTCTGGTTTCCAAAGCTCTCTTCCAGAACCCCAAATCAAGCTGATCCTGATGTGTCCCACTATTCCTCCATCCTGATGTGGGCTTCGAGTTTGGAGGACTAATCTGCAACGACAAATCAGGTTGTGCCGGAAAGAACTCCATCTACCAATTTCCCCTTCTGTGATTTTCCCACCTAGCTAGCTATATCTTCTTCTCCAAAAACAGGCAATTTTTCTGCAAGATGTTTATAACACAGTGCGGTATTTGAACTATATACGTGTGTGTGTCTGAGTTAATCAGAGTGGGTTTAGATTTTGTGGGTGTGAGATGAATGAATTGGGAAGGGGAAGAGATGTTTGCAGAGATGTTTGAGATAATGGACAGGAGATGGGGCAAGGACACACGGAGAGAAAGAAGAAATGACAAGGGGATGAAGTGAATGGCTGTTTCTTTTGTGTGAAGTATATGTGAGAAAATGACACTTGAGAGAGAGAGAGAGAGAGCTGTTTTGTTTTGTGGACGTCGGAGAGTATAGGGTAATAAAGGATGTGGAAAGGAAATGGCAAAGGGACGATAGGGAAAAGGAAATTATAAACAAAAGAAAATGATGAAAAGGAAAAGGTGAAATTATAAGTTTTGAAGCTTTTGTTATTCCCTTTTTTTTATCACAAATATACTCTCTTTTTAGCTGTGATTTTCTTTATTTTAAAAAAAAACGAAAGGAAGAAAGCACGAGAAAACTTACTGCTATATAACCTTTAACGTGTGCATAATTTGTCCCTCTGCAACCCATAACTTTCTATCCCCCACACACGTACAGAGAGTTTCTCCCTCTCTCTTTCTCACTGAACTGAAACCTAGGGCTCTCTCTCTCTCTCTGCTCCTTCCTTTTCTGCAGAGCAATACTGGTATTATTATTACTTTTTGTGGGATTTTTATTTACTGCAACGTGACTGATCACAAATTTCAACACCTGAATTATTATTATTTGGGGCTTGGATTTTGGCTAATTATACACCCAATTATTAGAAACCACTCATTGTGGTCACCATGAAACCCTAAATCTCTCCACAAATCACATCATATCATCCACATTCCCTTCCCTCTTTGTTTGAATAATAACTTTAGATTTTGATATTTGGACCCATCAGCATCACTTCTTGTTGTTATTGTCATTTTCCCTCTTTGCTAATCCTTCTTCAAGATAACTTCAAAGGTATATTTGTGGGTGCTTATAGATACTGTACCCACCGTGAAATGTCACATCTGCCCCTCCATTCTTTACTTGTACATTATATTATATGGATGAGATGTATCTCTCAGAGGTTAAACTTTGTCTTCACAAAATATATAGTAGCTCGTCCCTGTATACAGATGGAAAATGTGAAGGGTAAGATGAAATTGGTACAAGATTACTTTGACCTTTTCCCCCTAATTGCAAGATCAGAAAGTTAAATTTGACCCCTATTTTATTAATTTAGTCGGCCACAATCATTCTAGAGTACTAAATTATATAAGTACAGATATCTATTGAATCTTGCAAAAACCGACACAAATCTCTTCTATATTCTTGCAAACTAGCACAAACCAATCCCTAAACAAAAAAGTGATTTACCCGGAATTTTCTTGGATTTTGTAATAGACAGGTGGCATGTGTAATTTGATCTAAATTGAAAGGAGATATTTATGAACTCTACTAAATATGAAGGGTGTTATAGATTTTTTTGGTTCGATTAGGATAGATGGATCTTTAATTTAACAGAATACATCAAGATAAAAGTGATTTTGACGATTTAAAAAGACTCATATGTCCATACATTAAAAATGTAATGAAAACAGATAAAAATATTGATATAATAATTACAAAAAAAATATAATAGACATTGTAGGCAAGAAAATTGGATTAGGTTGATGATATTAAAAACTAGTAATAAAATTACAGGAAAGATGTTCAGCTTATTTTACATAATTAAGATTTCCAAATTTAAATCATGGAAGGTTTATTGCAAAAATTTGCAACGGGAACAATAGGTCAAGAGGTTAATTGAACCTCTTTTTCTGTATATAGTAGGGAGACACTACATAGAATTATAAACAAAGATGAGGAAGCGTAAATAGAAATCGAAGTCCCTTAATTTTTTTTATAGGTCTCTTAAATAATTTGGCTCCAAATTAAACAAAAATTGAAACTCTCTTTAACTCGATTACTTCTCATTACTAAAGCAAATTAAATGAAACACACGCACACATATCATACACCACACACGTGAAACGCCAATGTATTGGTGGGTCGTGGAGCTCTATCAAATATTAATTCTATGATTTCGTACGAATGTTAGGGTTCAAACATTGGATGGTCCTAATAATGTAATCAATGTGATTGTCAAGTTTTACGAGATTCACATATTCATTCACATATGTAAAAAATTACGATGAATGAAAATGTGTCTAAATAATGGCATAAGCAATTAGTCAGAGTGGGTAATCAGTCTCAATTGCAATCAATTGGTCTATATATTTATTGATAATTTTATTTTATTTGTACCTTAAATAAAATTATTGTTGTCTTAATACTAATTCAAATTTATGCCTTAGTTTGAAGTAGATAATAATTTTAAAAAATAATTTTGGAATGGGATAAGTCTCCTAACCTTTTACTTTCATGCCGTGTTTTTGTTTCTGTTGAAGAATGTGTCTTAATTTTGGTAAGAAAATAAAGTTGTGTGATAATGCTTCCTTGCCGACCTTCCAAGAAAATTTATGTTATGATATTATGTCGTTGCGGAAAAATACGTAGGAATGTTGAAGGATATATTCAGAAGTGTGACAAAGGGGGAGGAAATTTTAGATGGTTATAAAATATCTTTTAATAGGACACATATTTTTGTTAATTTTTTTGTCAAAATATTTTTGTTAAATTTAGAGAACAAAAAATCAAACCGCATCAGAAACTAATGAACCAGCCTGGAGTTTGGTTTGGCTCAAAGCTTAAACTGGGAACTCGGAAAAACATTTTGGTAAATGAAACTTTCTGTCGTACTTAGCTGATATGGATGTGTGTGTATTTAGCTGATATGGAGTAGAAGGTATTTAGTCAGAAACTTAAAATCGAACTAATTTGAGCAAAATGAGATCGTTGACATTTCTTGATTCATCATAAATAGCTTTTGAAGAAGTGCCTTTGTGTTCCACTTATAAGATTGAAGATATATGGCTTTTTTAATTTAAGAAAATTAAGTAAATATATAATAACATTTTCCTAAATATTTTATTTATTATAGTATAGCAAATTAAGAATTCATATCTCTTCAATAAATTAATATAATTTTTGTATCTAATTCGTATGATCATAGCAATAGAATTATAAAAAATAAATAAAATATTATTTTTAAATGTGATAATTATTATTTTGTAAGTTCGGAGAATATCATATCATCATTTTTTTTTAAGGACAGAAAAGCTTTGTACTTTATAAGCAACTAAATATTCGTTGCTCTTGAATTTATGGTAAGCTTAATTTTTCCATCTAATTACCACAATTTTGGAAGTTATTGGATAAAAATCAAGAAGAAGGAAAATGTAATTTGGTGAATAATGAAGGGTTAAGGTGCATCCAGCACCCCCAAGTATTTTTCCAGGTGCACCTAGTGACTTAAAATAATTTATGGTGCAATTTTGCCTTCAAAGTAATTAAAATGGTGCACCGGTATCCCATGCTAACAGATCTATTACTTTGACCGTGAAATTGATGAGTTAGCACAAGTTTGACCAAAATAATCTGACCTGGCATGTCTAATAAGCAGGTGACATGGCTTTTCTTATTAATTCCATTGTTTTGTCTGAATATTACTCCTCTGGTTCTATTTATAAGGCACTTCCAACATGTTTCACACAGACCAAGGAAAACCTTAAACTTCATTAACTCTCATTTAAATTTTAATAACTTTCCAACTTTATCCCTATTTAATATACATTATACCTCATATAAACAAAGTCAACACAATAATAAATGAGGGGTAAATTTGTATATCCATACAAAAAATTTCTCTCAGTGCCTTATAAATAGAATCAAAAAATATCTTCTTTTTCTATCCTATAAATAGGACTAGAGGAGTATCTCTGAAAAAATTTCTTACTCTGAAAAAAATTCCAAGAGCCGAAGAGAGCATTTACTGAACAGAGAAAACAAAGCAGTGGCAGACGAAAAAAATTCCACATCACCTGCTTATTAGACGTGCCAAGTCAGATTATTTTGGTCAAACTTGTGCTGACTCATCAATTTCATAGTCAAAGTAACAGATTTGTTAGCATAGGATACCGGTGCACCATTTTAATTACTTTGAGGGCAAAATGCACCATAAATTACTTTAGGCCACTGGGTGTACCTGGAAAAATACTTAGGGGTGCTGGATGCACCTTAACCCTGAAAAAAATTCCACATTACCTGCTTAATAGACATGTCAGGTCAGATTATTTTGGTCAAACTTGTGCTGACTCATCAATTTAACGGTCAAAGTACCAAATCTGTTAGCATGGAATACTGGTACACCATTTTAATTACTTTGAGGGTAAAATTGTACCATAAATTAATTTAGACCACTGGGTACACCTAACAAAATATTTGGGAGTGTTGGATGTACCTTAACCCAATAATGAAAGGTAATTGGCAATAAAGAATTATCATGAACAGGGACTTGCAGTTGTTGATTTGATTTTGATTATTAAAGCTGAACCTATTGAATGTCCTAACTGTAGGCTTGACAACTTTTTGTTGGGTAATTTTATATAATGGGCAAATAATGCTTTCCTCCCTTAATAGATCATTGTTATTCTAATTGCGCGCGTCAGTCACACCAACGTGATTCCCAAAGCAAGTGAAAGTTAATTTCACTTTTTGACCTTAAACTTGGGTTAATTGATCCACGTACAGTTAAAAGATTTCATTCGCTTGATTTGATTTTATATGTCTTTTTTGTGTTCTCTTGTAACTAAGTATCGCTTTCTTTTTTGAATAATGTGTTAGACACAAATTAAATTTGGTCACAGAACAAAAAAGTAAGATTCAATATTATTTTTCATCAGTATTTGGTCATGTTTACGAAAGCATTACATGTAATTGTTGTCCTGTTTTGAGATTTGAAAACAAAGAAAGAAAAATAGAAAATGCAATAGAGACGGTGCCAAATAATAAATCATTAATTACCGAACACAATTATTATTCCATGCAAGGAAAGAGAATTTTGTCGTATTTTTTCTAAAAAGGACTTTGAAAAACATTTTGATAACTGAAACTTTTTTTGGCCTTCTTCCTACGAAATTTCCCACTAATAATTCTTCAAGAAAACACACTACTATACCACCTAATATGCATTTCTATATCATTAAATTTAATTACTTCATTACGACCACCAACAACAGCCACAATTTTCCAACATTCTATCACTGTACTCAAAACTCGTTTTCAAATTAATTTTTCCATGCGATTTTAATTT